GCCATCTTGGATTCTCACACGTGTTTTTATAACCCTATTTATCCCTACATATCCACATTTATAATGTCCTGTCCGTCTCTATCTCTAGATATCAACATGAATGATCGCTTGTCCGTCTATATCCCTACACTTTCCCACAATAATAATTATTAATTAAATTAAACAAAATTTTTACAAACATTTTCAAATGCTAATAAAAGAATCCCCACTCTATTTTGCTTTCTAACATAAATGTTTTTGTTTAGAGATTAATGCAAGAATGATGAATAAATGTGCTGGATATGGGCTAGATAATTTTGTCAGAACAACCCACTTGCAAGACAATATTACCTAAATTCATTAGTCGCCGAGCCGACGGCGCGAAGCGCCGTGCGAGGGTACTAATTCCCCCCGGCTATTTACACCAGGGGAAACGAAAGCATTAGCCAAGTCTAAAGTTCATCAAATATCGCGGGCGTGGGTCACTGTGCGTGGGTGGTCATCCTCACTGATCTCAAAAATATGGCGGACTGTCATGGATAGCGAACACTGATTGGTCAAATTTAAAATTTGTTGTTGTATGACAAATGACGACTTCAACTGACAGATACTTCATGAAAATAATTTGCTTTTTGCACTACAGTATGTTGTACGTTTGCAAAAATCTTTGACAGCTTTCAAAGCAATTTGTTCTATAAAAAGTTTAATAAAACAATTATGGTATCAAATACCAATTGAAAAGATATGGACTACTGTATGGAGCCAAATAAAGAGCGGCAAGGAAACGACAAGAAAGCCGAACGTCTCGCGAAAAGGAGGGAGCCAGCGAAGACGACAACATTTGCTCGAGGAGACTGCTGAGGAAAGAGAAGCTCGCCTGGGAAAGCGTAGAGAAGCATGGAAAAAAAGACTGCTGAAGCGAAAGGTAAGCAAAGGCTTGTCTTCACAACGCTATGTACCAATGATACTGTAGCTATACAAGTTGAAGTATGATATTCGACCCTCTATATTCGACTATTTCTTCACAATTTTCCAATAAAGAGTTTGTCATGACACGCTCAAGTCAGTATAACCAGACTGTATTTTATTTATATCAGTTATCACAGCCCACAGGCAATTTTATGCTGTCAAATACCGTCGGTGGCAACTAAGGGTGAACAGTTGCAGATAAAACATTGTCTATTCTCATTAAAAAGCCTGTAAAAGTTTCCAGTAGGTCTCTAGCCCAACAACTTCAGACAAAGTTTTGTTACTTATTTTTATTGCACACATGGGAAACAACAATTAAGTGTTGTTGTTCTTGACAAACATTGAAGATTCTAATCACGCGAATGTTTTTATGAGCGACTGTTCATCGTTAGTTGCAAACGACGGTACAACATACTATGAACATTTTTCCGACTGTGACCGAATGTGCAACGATATATTTTTCAAAGTTGTTATGAATTCCTAAAATTTGTTTATAGTAAAACGGCCTGCTCAGCACTCACTACTCACGATGATTTCATTTAGAAATGCAGTTACCAGGAAAGGAACTGATTCTAAAATATGTAAATTTAAAAGCATTGGCTAACATAATAAAGCGATGTGAAGACAAGGTACAAACTTTTATAGTTGCTATTTGTTATAAAATCCTATAAATAAACCGATTCAACAATCATTTTGCCTCGAATTTGCATATTCTATGCTGCATGTTTATATTTTATTTTTATAGTATAAAAATAAAATTGTAATACTATGAAATAAAATACATTTCTGTTTATTGACCAGTACTTATTTAATGTCTTCTTCATCCAGCGGTCAGAGTAAATTTCTACTTCTAGCAAGTAAATATTTGACAAGCAGTCTGGAATAAGCACAGGACTTTTAATGCATTAGCCAAATCCAAGTGTGCCCATCCCCCTCGCCCAGCCATTTTCCTGTAAAGCACATCCCGGGGGTTGGGCATTTCCACTCGAACCTTAGCCCCGGCGAGGCATTTGAAATTAATAATTTCGATTCTTGCACTTCACTTGGTGGAATTAATATTAGAATGTTAGGGTTTGTAATCCAAGTGAGAATATATACATGTATATATTTTGTAATCCAAGTGAGAATATTTTGTAATCCAAGTGAGAATATACAAATGTATAGTACATGCATATATTTTGTGTATATATTTTGTAATCCAAGTGAGAATATACAAATGTATATATTCTCACTTGGATTACAAACCCTAACATTCTAATTTTAATTCCACCAAGTGAAGTGCAAGAATCCAAATTATTGAAGTCCACCTTATCACAACCCGCACACCCAATTACCTAAATATACGTGAACTTACGGTTAAAGCTCAACAGCTGGCCTCTGTAGCTCAGTTGGTTAGAGCGCTGCACCGGAATCGCAGGGCCGTAGGTCCAATTCCTACCAGAGGACCTTGTGCTGCATTTTTCGCAGTCGTTCCTGGTTAGGTCTTAAAATGTATATATATTCTCACTTGGATTACAAACCCTAACATTCTAATATTAATTCCAACAAGTGAAGTGCAAGAATCCAAATTATCGAAGTCCACCTTATCACAACCCGCACACCCGATTACCTAAATATACATGAACTTACAGTTAAAGCTCAACAGCTGGCTTCTGTAGCTCAGTTGGTTAGAGCGCTGCACCGGAATCGCAGGGCAGTAGGTTCAATTCCTACCAGAGGACCTTCTGCTGCATTTTTCGCAGTCGTTCCTGGTTGGGTCTTAAAATGTATATATTCTCACTTGGATTACAAGCCCTAACATTCTAATATTAAGTCCACCAAGTGAAGTGCAAGAATCCAAATTATTGAAGTCCACCTTGTCA